CTCTCTCTCTCTCCTCACTTCCTCACTTCCCCTCTTTCTGAACCCCCCCACCTACTCTGTCTTTTTCGCTGTCTCTCGGTCTCTTTCTCAGAATTATTCACTAGCTTTCAATGACTAATCACTTCCCCAGCCCCCACCCCCATTCTAGACCGACGCCCCCTCCCAGTCCCCTGCCAGCCTCATGAATATTTAAACATCTCCAATCTGGACCCAATTACCCACCGACTTTCCCGCTGCATTGAGAGTGTGTGTGGGGGTGGGGTGGGGTGCGGGGAGGGTGCAGAGAAGTATATTCCAGCTGGTTCTGGGGACTGGATGGAATGTGTTTTAGGGAAGAGGGGCTTGAGGGATGCTTGTATTTCTTTACTCTTTTCTTTTCCAATATCATACAAGTAAAGAACAGCTATTCCAAATGAGTAGTAAAACCTAAACATGTTATATCTGCTATTTAGGTTTTATGCACAGTTAATAATTGTGAGGGTTAAGTTCTCTCAAAAAAAATTAAATAATGTGTAAATATCATACACTGTATGTATACTGTACTCAGTATTCATATAACCTAAAACAAATACATGCATGCTTAGATATACATAAACACATCTCATATATACTCCAATATCCTCAAATAATCCACATGAATATATTGCATTTTAAACATTCTAAGCACTTGAGTTTGGAAATAATAATAAATACATAAAATGTTTAGGAATTAGCATCCACATTTAAGATCACAGGGTTTTTTTTGTTTCCTAATGCACATTCACCTGTTTGAAAATTGGGGTTTCTTTTAATTTTACTGAAAAAGCTGAGCACATTTGAATGTCTCTATAATATTAATGGTTCCCCAAAGGATATTTTACAGTTTGGGCAAGAAGAATACAAGTAAACTCATCTGTTATGAGAAGAAAATGTATATCACAAAACCTACTTCTTCAATTCCTTCTATGGTTTTTTGTAATTTGGGTGGAGGAAAATCTGACTTTAAAAAACATAGATAACACAATTTATATATATATATATATATATATATATATATATATATGTATGTATGTATAGTACTGTGTGATTGGGAGATGCTACTGAAACTTTTTGTAGCTAATTTTCTAATCTGTAAACTAGAGATAATAATAATGCCAACCTATGATTAGTGAGGACCTAATAATATAATGTATGTAAAACACAACAGAGCCATTCTCAGTACATAATAAATTTCCCCCACAGACTACTTTTCCAAACTTTTGGACATTTTTATGGGAATATCTCAAAGAACTTTTCAAACTATTTCTTGTTATTCACTAGTGGCAATCAGCATTCCCAATTAAACAACTCATAGTCTTTCTAGCGTCTCCTAGACACAAGTCTAGTTAATAGGTGTCAACCAGACAGCTTATTATCATCTATATATTATCAGGATCACTGAGCTTAATATGTGCTTAATGCATTTTAACAAAATTCAAGGTCCACCCATCTCAGAATGAGCTATCACAGAGAGACGCCCAGGGGGTAATGGTTATAAATTATCCCCAGAGGTCTTCCTGAGCACGACTGCTTTAGATTCAGCCTTACCTGGTCTTTTATTGCTCTCCATTTGCTTCATAGTTTTCTGATTTTATTATTAAAATACAGAGTTAGGTTCTGAGTTTAATATATATATTTTTAATGTTGTAATGAGCCCAGTCAGAGCCGAGCTTTCCCAAACAGCCTTCTCTGGACTTACATGATAGAAGAGGGCAAAGGATGGTTAAGAAATGACTTCATCAGAGACCTTCCAACTGTGGATTAGGATCACCCCACCTAGCCTGCTAGGGTTGGGGAGTGATAAAGAGAGGGAGCAGAGGGGTTGAGGACTGTGGGCAAAGGAGAGGAAATTGCTTCTTTTGGTGAGTAAACAGACTCAGAGATAGAATCATTTTGTCAACTACGTGGCCAAATATATGGCCACATACTTGGCCATAGAAAGAGGCCAAATCCTTTGCCTTTTAATGCACTCCTCTCACACCTCCCATTTATAACTTCTTTTCCCTTTTACTTAATGAAAGGAAACTTGGAAACTAAGTGGCATAATGAAATCAGACAGAGTTGAACTCAAAACTAGGCGTAGGCCCAGATGAACTTTGTGGCTAAGTATGTTAAACCAAGCCTCTAAGCATCACTTTCCTCAGCAGTGTACATGCATTATTTCATCTGATACTCAAAATGAGGTAGGTGCAACCATTAATCCCATTTGGATGGAGACACTAAAGTTAAGTAAATTAAGTACCTAGACTACGTCACACAACTTCTGAGTATAAGAGGTAAAGAAAGGTACAAAACCCCATTAGCCATTAAAATACATTGCCACTCCATGGGCCTCTATACCTCAGTACTTCTGGTCCTCAGAAAATTAGACTATGTAGGGGAAGCTTTTGTGTTAAAATGAAATTAGCATTCTGAAAGGTCCACTTATTAGGCCCAGCCCTTATCTCAAGAACCATGAAGAACAAGCTGATACCCTCATCCAGTAGCCAGCCCTCTGTATGTTTCTGACCAAACATCAGCTACCTCAACCACTTGCAGGTCCCTCTTATTCAGAATCCTCCACATTTTGGATGTCTCCCTCTGGACTTAGTATATTCGGTCAACAAGCCTCTAAAAATTACTTCCCCAAAGGGAACTTAAGATTCCAAATTTAATTTGAATGCTATGGAATCAATTCTATTGCATGTTTCTCCTTTAAGCAACAGACGTTATGGGATGGAAAAGGAATGAGGAAGACAAAAGCATACACTGATATGATCTTGGCAAAAAAAAAACAAAACCAAAAAAACATAAAATAAAAATAAAATAACCAGTGTTATTTTGATCTCTACCAACCAACTATTTAATAGATCCACTAATCTGTATGCCCTTATAGCCAATCCCAGAAAATGCCTAGGCTTAATCCCCATGATTGATCCTCATATAATTTTAGATTAGCAGATTAACTCATGAGGCTGTCAGGTAACTTTCCAACTACAAGCTAGGCAATAGCATCATTCTAAAAGAAGGTGAAGAGTAGTGGAGGCCAGGTTGCAGCTCTATTCTTATATCTTCTTGAACTTCATGCAAAAGTGATAGTGTTTTCATAATAAACCCAAAAGTCACTGAGCTTTACTAAGGCCTCCGTCAGATAATCTGCTACGTTATAACTGGCATTTGAGAGAGGCTTATCACCAATTCAGGTAGAAAACATGTTTGTCTTTTTTCTCTTCCTTCTAGGAGTTTATTTTTTTTACCTTTTAGACTTAGCCTTTTACCTGTTGTATCAGTGTGCTAGGGCTGCCATAACAAAATACCACAGACTGTGTGGCTTAAACAAACAGAAATTTATTTTCGCATAGTGCTGGAGGCTAGAAGACCAAGATCAAGGTGCTGGCAGTGTTGGTTTCCTCTGAGGGGCCATGAGAGAAATACAGTTAAGTCTCCAACTTACGAATGAGTTCCGCTCTGTGAGAACGGTTGTAAATTGGACTCATTCGTAAGTCCGACAAAGTGAGTCTTATACACCTTTGACGCTTCTTAGCAGTCCCCTCCACATCACCACTGCTTTTCCTCTTGCTTCCAAACATCCTGGGCTCTGATTGAGCACTGTACCACTGTACACAATCGCACTGCACAGTAAGCACTCAGCAGTACAGCTGTGACAATGTCTGGCAGACAAGTGAGCTACTTCCGCGATTTGTTCGCATCTATGTCTATTCGAAACGCTAGGTCCGTTCATATTTGTGAAAGTTCTCAACTCAAATGTTCATAAATCAGGGACTTACTGTATCTTTTCCAGACCTCTCTACTTGGCCTGCTGACAACTGCCCTCTCACTGCCCTTTCATATGGTGGTCCCTCTGTACATGTGCACTCCTGGTATCTCTGTGTCCAAATTTCCTCTTATTAAAGGACATCAATCTGATTGGATTAGAGTCCACCCATATGACCTCATCTAACCTTAATTATCTCTTTAAAGGCCCTATTTCCATATACTGTCACATTCTGAGGGATTGTAACATAAGACTTTTGCGGGGATATAATTCAGTTGATGACACCAGCATTCTCTATCAGTACTTTCTGACTTCATTCATTTATTCAAAATTTTCTATGTTGCAAAAACATCCTTCCTTCAAGGAGATACATACATGAAAAGCAAAATAATGCTGTTTGAACAAAACAGGATTCAATGTCAAATGTGTGTTATAAGAATTCAGAATAGGAAAGAAATTACTGTGGAGTAGGGTAGGTCTTTCCTTTCGTGATTAGGATTTGAACAATATCTTTACTTGTTTTAGAGAGTTTGAGAGAAGGGAAAGGCATCATGTTAGAAAAGGCCAAATGCACAAATAATCAGTGCATGATCAAAGGACTGTCGAAATGCAAAAGAGGGGGAGTTGTAAAGAAGAGTAGTAAGAGAGAACGTGAGAAGGGTAGGTTAACACCCCGATTAAGAAGGATCTTAAGGGTTAGACTAAGGGGGTATATTAATGTCCTAGGGCTGCCATAAGAAATTTCCACAAATGTGAGGGCTTAAAACAGCAGAAATTTACCCCCTCATATTTCTGTAAGTCCGAATTCAAAGTGTTGGCAGGATTAGTTCCTTTTGTAGGCTCTGAGGAAGAATTCTTTGCATAACTTTGTCCTACCTTCTAGTGACTGTGGCAATCCTCGCCATTCCTTGGTTTGAAGATGCATCACTCCAATCTCTGTCTTCATCTTCAGATGGTCTTCCCCTCTTCTTATAAAGACGCCTGTAATTGATTCTAGGGTCCACTGTAAATCCAGGATGATTTCATCTCCAGATTCTTAACGGAATTGCATCTGCAAAGACCCTTTTCTCAAGTAAGGTCACATTGACAGGTACTGGGATTTAGAACTTGGACACAA